TCAGGTGGGTATCCCTGGTATAATGAGGATGATAGGAGGGAAGGCAGTCTGGTACAGCCAGCGTCGGAGGTCAGGAGTTTGGGAGTGCTCCTGGATGCCTCCCTAATGATAGAGGCCCAGGTAGCAGCCACTGCCAAGGCAGCCTTTTACCACCTACGGCTGATCAGGCAGCTGGTTCCCTTCCTCGAACGCAAAGATCTGGCGTCAGTGATCCATGCGATGGTCACCTCGAGACTAGACTACTGTAACGCTCTCTACATGGGGCTGCCCTCGTTGCAGATTTGGAAGCTGCAGCTAGTGCAGAATGCTGCAGTCAGGCTTTTGATGGGTCTCCCCAAGTGGGAGCACATCCAGCCTGTGCTGCGGCAACTGCACTGGCTGCCAATAGCATACCAAATCCGCTTCGAGGTGCTGGTTCTTACCTTTAAAGCCCTATGTGGCCAGGGTCCAGCATACCTGCGGGACCGCCTTTCGCCATATATACCCCAGAGAGGACTTTGGTCTGGGTCTCAAAATCGATTGACCCTCCCTGGGCCAAAGGAGGCCAGGCTTGCTACTACCAGGGCCAGGGCTTTCTCGGTGGCAGCCCCAGCCTGGTGGAACGAGCTCCTGGAGGAGATCAGGGCCTGGCGGGACCTTTCGCAGTTCCGCAGGGCCTGCGAGATGGAGCTCTTCCTCCAGGCTTTCAGCTAGGGTTCCGCCACCGTTATAGAGCCCTGGCTCTTGGTTTTCACATCCAGCCTGAGCCACAGGAAGATCTTGAGTAGAAGGATTTTTAGACAGTACATTGAAATATAAGCCATCTTGAGTAGATATCTTCACTTTATGAAACTGTTATTAATAATGGAATTGTTTTATGTGATTTAATGTGGTTTTCACTGTATTTTATGTACTGACTGTGAGCTGCCCTGAGCCTGCATTGCAGGGAGGGCAGGGTATAAATGCGATCAATAAATAAAATAAATAAATACAGCCAGGTCTCATTAGACGCTGGAAGCTAAGTGGGGCCATTACTTGGATGGGAGACCACCAAGGAAGACGCTGCAGAGGAAGGCAATGGAAAACCACCTCTGCTTCTCATTTGCCTTGGAAGGCCCTTGCTGGGATCACCACAAGTCCACTGCGACTTGACGGCACTTCACACTCGCACAATGTGGATGAAAGACAGACTTGCCACTTTTCAGGTTTCTGAGCTGACAATGGCCGGCTGAGTCAGAGAGCCAGTTTGGTGTAGTGGTTAGGAGCGCGGATTCTAATCTGGGGAAGGCCCTTGCTGGGATCGCCACAACTCCACTGCGACTTGATGGCACTTCGCACTCGCACAATGTGGATGAGAGACAGACTTGCCACTTTTCAGATTGCTGAGCTGACGATGGCCGGCTGAGTCAGAGAGCCAGTTTGGTGTAGTGGTTAGGAGCGCGGACTCTAATCTGGGAGAACTGGGTTTGATTCCCCGCTCCTCCACATGCAGCTGCTGGTGTGACTTCAATTGCTTCCAGGATTTAAATCATGCAGGAGAGTAGACTACAGAGATGCACCTTAGACTAATCCCAGCTTGATTCGTCAGCCTGCCACAGTTCAGGAGTTTCTCTACAAGAAATAAGGTTTCTGGCATGGCTATTTGTGGGGCAGGACTTTTAATTAAGGGGGCAGGGCCCCCAAATGCCCAGATTGCTTCCAGGATTTAAGTCATGCAGGAGAGTAGACTACAGAGATGCGCCTTAGACTAATCCCAGCTTGATTCGTCAGCCTGCCACAGTTCAGGAGTTTCTCTACAAGAAATAAGGTTTCTGGCATGGCTATTTGTGGGGCAGGACTTTTAATTAAGGGGGCAGGGCCCCCAAATGCCCCCACTGTAGCTAAGGGCCTGATCAAATATACTTGCCGCTAAAGTTGCCCCTTGCCATGCTTGTGCGGTCTTGAAAATGACGGCAGAAGACAGCTCCTGTTAAACTCTGCTAGCAGTAGACAAGCCGAGAACACAGTATGTTTTGCTTGTTTCTTTCCCCGGGCTTGCCGGACCCTGGGGTTTGAAGGGATGGGAAGGTTTCCTCCAGGAGAACAAATCTGGGTCACGTGTCTGATGGACGAGCCATCTTATAAATGGGAGTGAAAAGAGGCCCTTTGTAGGCGCTAAGTCAGCAGGATCAGTCCAGTTCTCCTCTTAATCACAGGCTGTCATGCTCTTTCCCCAGGCTTGCTGGACCCTGGGGTTTGAAGGGACGGGAAGGTTTCCTCCAGCGGAACAAATCTGGGTCACGTGTCTGATGGGCGAGCCATCTTATAAATGGGAGTGAAAAGAGGCCCTTTGTAGGCGCTAAGTCAGCAGGATCAGTCCAGTTCTCCTCTTAATCACAGGCTGTCGTGTAAACCCTCTCCTTCCCCCTTTGCTGACTCTGGAGTATAAGGTGGTTGTGCTTACAGCAACTTTTCTGTACTCTGCTGACTCGACGGTTCTGCCACATCCCGGGGGTTCGCTCTTTGGAGTCATGCATCTGGGGACTAGATACAAGGCGATGTTAATACGTTCTGCTTCTGTGGGCATGCGGCTATCAGGCAAGACCGCCCAGCTCCTGGTTTCAGATCTGAAGATCTAGGAAAAGATTTACCAAACAGTATCTTCTCCACTACTATGAGTAACGCTGAGCAACGAAGAATAGATTCTTTTGAACTATGGTGCTGGAGAAGACTCTTGAGAGTCCCTTGGACTGCAAGGAGATCAAATCAGTCAATCCTAACAGAAATCAACCCTGACTGTTCCCTGGAAGGCCAGATCCTGAAACTGAAGCTCAAATACTTTGGCCACCAAATGAGAAGGGAGCACTCACTGGAGAAGACCCTGATGCTGGGAAAGATTGAAGGTCAAAGAAGAAGGGGACAGCAAAGGATGAGATGGTCAGACAGTATTATCGAGGCAACGGACATGAAATTGAGCAAACTCCGGAGGATGACGGAAGACAGGAGGGCCTGGTGTAATGTGGTCCATGGGGTTGCGAAGAGTTGGGCTCGACTGTGCGACTGAACAGCAACAACATCTTGTCCACTAAGTAAAGGATAAATCGTACTGGGTGAATTGGACATTAATCACTTTTGACCCTTGGAGAAAAGCAATGAGAGAGCCAGTCTGGTGTAGTGGCTAAGCTTAGATTGCACTTATAGGTTTTATAATTGTTGTTTTTACTGTGTTTTTATAATGTTTTGTTTATATGGTAAGCCGCCTTGAGTTCCACAAGGAAGAAAGGTGGGTAACAAATGTTTTCCATAAATATAATTTTTAAAAAATAATGAATACTCTACTCCAATGGGTGAAGAGGACATGTCTAGGGGATGATACTATTAGCCATTTGAGGAGAGTGGGAAATAAGAGAGAATAGCTGTCTCCCCTTCATGTGACAAACATGGACTTAGGGAATTAGAAAGGCATATGGAGCAGAGGTCCATCAGTGGCTATGAGCTCTGGGGCAAGTGATGCTCTGTCTTCTTGGTGCTTGGGAGGGCCAACACCCATCTTGTAGAAATTTCTTCCAGGTGGTGTAATGGTGTCTAATTTTGTGCCAATTTTGGGCACACAAACTGTTCCAATCCACGAAGGACAAGAACACCAAGAATTGTAACTGTGTCCTCAACAAATGTGAAATGTAAACGCCTCTGATGATTAATGACTTTTAGATATCCTTTCCCCCTTTTTTCTTCTGTACACCTCAAGCTATAGGATAAATAAAATATATACATGTCCAAAGAATACCAAGATGGCTGATACCTTCTAGAAGTGAAGTGATTCCAGGATAACACAATCATTTTCATACCAAAGACCTAGGCTGTTGTTCCTTTCGGGAAAGGGATCGGCCATTTGGGTCAACATTTCCAACATCATTAAATATACTGAGAAGTTACAAGTCTTCTAATGAGGACATAGGCTGATAGCTTCAGTCACAAGTGACGCAATAGCTGTGTGTGTTTCAGTGACCGACAGTCTCTCTTGGAATCCAGTTCTGGGACTAGCCTATGTAATCCAGTGACACACACACACACCAGTGCAAAGGTGTAGATGCCAGTTTGGTGCAGAGGTTAGGATCATGGACTCTAAACTGGGTTTTATTCCCCACTCCTTCACATGCAGCTGCTGGTGTGACCTTGGGTCAGTCACAAGTTGTTTCAGAGCTGTTCTCTCCTGAGCAGTCCTTAAAAGAGTTCTCTCAGCCCCACCTACCTCACAGGGTGTCTGTTGTGGGGAGGGGAAGGGGAAGGGAAAGGAGATTGTAAGCTAAGACTTTTCAGGTAGTGAAGGGCAGGGTATAAATCCAATCTCCTCCTCCTCCTCCTCCTCCAGGCTAGCCCAATTTCATCAGATCTCAAGAGCTAAGCAGGGTCGGCCCTGGTTAGTATTTGGATGGGAGACCCCCAAGGAAGTCCAGGGTCACTATGCAGAGGAAGGAAATGGCCAACCACCTCTGCTCCTCCCTTGCCTTGAAAACCCCAGGGGGTCACCATAAGTTGGCTGTAACTCGAGAGCAAAAATGTTGGAATTGCAAGTTGTTTACACTTCAGTCATGAGCATCCCTTCTTTTTCAACCTGCAGCTCCGACTCTGAGTGCCTGGCAGAGCTAGCGATCTGTGCAGTGGGTATTGTAGCGACTCTCGTAACAAGAGCGGGCCCACCTTGCTCCTGCCACTAACCTTCCGGGCCCGGGCCCAACACATGAGAGGCGAGGCTTTCTCAGCCCTCCCCGCTGTGACAAGCGTGACCTTTGGAGCTGTCCAAATGCCTGAGTTATGGCCTCATCGCCACTCACCACCATTCCTGGGCTTCGCAGAACTGCAAATAGGAAGCCCGGCCTTTGGAATCAGCCCAGGGCAGAAAATATCCCCCAGATTTCGTTCCAGGGCGCACAGCATGAGACTGAGGCAGGCCTGGGCTTTGTGTTCTGGAGAGGGGAGGGGAGGGGAGGCAGGCAGCTGCTCTCCTCCCACTTCCCTGCCTTGTGCTTTTGTGTCGGGGCTCGGTGGAAGAGCTGCTACCTGCCTGGTTCCCCCGAGCGAGGGCATTTTCCTGCTAATCGCATAGGATCGATTGTATTTTTGAAGTGGGTAGAGTGGCCCGGCGTCCGGAAAGATGCGAGGCTGGAGGAGGACTGGATGCACGGTGTCACGGAAGCTTAGGAGAAGACCACCCCATCCCCCCCAAACACACACACACTCCATCCCTTTTGGAAGCAAGGAGAGATCTGCGCATGCTTAACTCGAGGTCTTGTCTCCCACCCCCACCCCCCCGTGTCCCCGTGAAGAAGGCTGGCCTAGGGGAGGAGAGGAAGAAAGGTCCATCCGCCTCCCGGGACACCGCGCCGCTGAAGATGCGCCCTCCCTTGCGCGGAGGCGCAGAGGAGACGGCGCCCGGGCACCTCCCTGTCCGAGAGTAACAGGTCTCCGCGGCTCTGAGTGGCTTCCCCCGCCCCCCAGCCGTACAGCAGGTGCCCCTCCTGGGCCGGAGGGCGGGACGAGAGCTGCTGCCGCCGCGCCCGCCGCCTCCTGCTCTTCCAGCGGTGCGGCCGCGGTGAACATCTGGGCTGGGGCGGGGAAGCGCCGCGTGAGCCCAGCCCAGCCCCGACGGCGCCCTCGCCGCGCGGAGCTGTCCAGGGAGGGCGGCGCTCTCCATGGTGCTGAAAGCCGCTCCCGCGGGACCCCTGCCTGGCGGTCGGCGGCCCCGGGAGGCTCCCCAGGCGACTGAGGCGCGCCTATCTTCCTCCTCCTCCGCCGCCGCCCCGCTCGCTTCCACCGCAGCCGCGGAGCCCCGCGATCTCGTCGTCCCGCCAGCCCCGGAGAGCCGGCAGCCAGGCGCCCGGCCGCTTCGCCCGCCGCGCTCGGAGTAATGGCTGCGCTGACCAAGGTGGCCGGCGCCTCCACCTTCCTGGCGGTCTTGTGGGGTAGGTAGGCGCTTCCCTCCGCGCCGCGTCGGGTCTCTCGAGGCAGCCTGAAACAAACGGGGGTGGTGGTGGGGGATGGATTTTGCAGCTGAACCCCGATTCTCTATATGAGTCTGAAGCCAATGGGGTTTTGACTGGCATCCTTTCCATTTTAGTTACATTAAAAAAAACACCCATCCTGCATAGCCTTAAAAAAAAACCCACAACAACCTGTAAATTTGAGGGACACCTACTTTGAAGTTATTTGCAAGCATGTGGGTGTCCGGTTTTTTTGTTTGTTTTTTTGTTTGTTTTTGGAGTTTGGGGACTGCTTAAGCTGATTCGGGGAATGAGGTTATGTTTTAGGAGAGGGGAGGGGGAAATTATACACAAAAAGGAATATTCAGCAGTGGACGTCAGATAATGCCCGCTTAAATCAAGAGCTCAGGCAATAAAGAGGGCGCCGAGAAGGATGACAGAGCCAGGAAAGGAATGCATGTTGTTGTAGAGTAGCATATTTATAAGATCCCAGTTTGAATGTAGACGTGATAGAAAGCATTTTGGAGCAACTGCACAACTGCATTTTTCGCTCTTTGGCCAACACCAGTAGATTCTGTGCTCTCTGGGGCTTGGAGCATGGAGGCTTGGAGCATTTCCCACACGTGACACTTATGAGGGTTTTGCACTTCCCACCTCTGAAAAATCCTTGCATTGGCTGGAATGGGCTTTCTTTAAAAATGGCTTTTTTTTCCATTTTAGAAAAGCACATTCACATAATGGCATACACGGTGTGAGAGAGACTCAGCAGTACATTTAGGAACCTTTGCAAGAGCTCCCTTAACTATAAATGGCAAAAGCCAAAGCGGCTGCCTCTTGGCTCCAGGAAGAACAGAATGTGATTGCTGGATTTCACAGTGCTGGGGAATTAGTTGGCACGGCTCACTGTAGCATGAAGGAACTGTCACTGTTGAATGGTTGGCTGGAAAGGTTTAAGGAAGAACCACTTGTCTGCAGGTCTAAACGAGATAATTTTTCAAAGCCTTTTTTCTCTCCTTTGAGCAGTGCTCATTACCAGAAAGAGCAGGTAGAGAAAGAGGTACTTTTCTCCCTTTCTCACAATACAAGAACCCGTGGGCACTCCATGAAATTGCTGAGCGGTTGGGTTAGAACGGATAAAAGGAAGTACTTCTTCACCCAAAGAGTGATTAACACTTGGAATTCACTGCCACAGGAAGTGGTGGCGGCTTCAAGCATGGACGGCTTCAAGAGGGAATTAGATAAGCATGGAGCAGAGGTCCATCAGTGGCTATTAGCCACAAGGTATAGATAGGGACTCTGGGGCAAGTGATGCTCTGTCATCTTGGTGCTTGGGGGGGTGTCAACAGTGGGAGGGCTTCTAATGTCCTGGCCCCACTGGTGGACCTCCTGATGGCACTGGTATTTCTGGCCACTGTGTGATACAGAGTGTTGGACGATGGGCCTTTGGCCTGATCCAACATTGGCGTCTCTTATGTTCTTATGTTCTTAGGAGCAAACATCATGTCCAAACTTGGGCATGGAGATCTGTACCCCTGGGGTGTGAGAGAGAAAGATGGTAGATAGCATATAATGTTGCAAACATTCCAATCTCCAGTAATCACTTGAAAGAACACCGAAGAAGAGCTCTGGAGTCTTGAAAATTACTTTTAGGAATGAGATCAAGATCTGTGTGCTCTTGGGAGTGGTGGTAGAATATATGCATGTCTATAAAGAAAAGTGACCATGCAGTTACTAGAGTCAGTGTGTACAGAGCATTTGAACATGTTTGCACTTGCCCTGTGCAGAACTGAACCCAAAGCTTTGTGTAGAAAGTAGTGTTCCCTCTAAGCTGAGTTAGTGTGAGCTAGCTCACAGTTTTCTAGCCTCCAGCTCACACATTTTAGTCTTAGCTCAGGAAGGATGGCTCCAGAGCAAACTGATTTATGCAGCAGCCAAAACACTCACTCAAAACTTTAATGCCAGTAGCTGACAAAGTAGAATTTTTGCTCACAAGACTCCACAGCTTAGAGGGAGCATTGGTAGAAAGGTGGTCTGTTCCATCATTCTTGTGAAGAGAACAGGTCCCCTTTGTTTCCGTGGGTCAGCAAATTGTGAGAAAACGTCTGGCTGGCCGGCTCCACGTCACGTGTCCGCTGGCATCTCAATTATTTAATTGAGAAAATGTTGCTTCTGCTTTCAGCCCAAATTGAATTAAGCACCATAAGAGTAAGATTCAAATTCCTGTCCTGATGAATAGGGAAGGGACAGCTTGTACATCTGAAAACGACCCGTCATTTCTATGCCAAGATATTATTAAATAGGGATTATTGGTCAGGATCCCTGTGAAGTGGGAAGCTTTTGCAAATCCAGGTTATTTAATCTGTTCTCAATGAATGCCACTCATGAATTAAAAAGCTTTGTTTTCGCTGAGAAACGGAGGGGACCTGAATAACAGATTATTCTCTGTGTCCCTCTATCCCTGTCCGTGTGTGTGTTTGTCACCCGTCTTCTTTCCCCCAACATGGAAACGGGCCTCTGCCACACATACATGTTCACGCGTGCAAATTGACTGCCGCCCCTTCTGTGCCGTGGCGCCTGCTCTGTCGAACCCGCCCCCCAAGTTGGTGTCTGTTCTGCCGTCTGTGTCGAAGTGCCGTCAGAGACGGAGGCGGTCCAGGGATCGCACATGAAGCTGCTGTGTATCTCCTGCATGAAGCGAGAAGAAGTCAGTGCCAATACTTTGGTGGAATGGTTCTACAGGGCTGAAGGAGAAGACGTGGATGACCTTGTAAGTAGCTTGTTGGGTAACTCCAGCTGTAAGTATGGAAGATGGAAGGATGCATCCATTCATAAGATTTCTATCCTGCCTTATGGCTTGTTGAGTTCAGGGCCGTCAAGGCAGCTCACCATTAAAGCATCGTGAAAGCACATCATAAAAACAAAGCAGTTCTAAAAAGCACATCACTGGCCGCAGCGATCCATGCTCTGAACACATCCAATGCGCTCGATGTGAGGCTGCCTTTGCAAACAGTGCAGAAATGCATTTATCTATTGAAAACACTTATTGGCTGCCTTCCTGTGTGTTCACGAGACCAGGGTGTAGGAAATGCTTCCCGTAAAAGGGTGGCCAGCAGTGTGTCCTCTAAGATGAGTTAGTGCAAACTAGCTCACAGTTTTTTACCCTCTGGCTCACACATCTTTTCGTCTTTGCTCAGCAAACTAATTTAGGCAGCAGCCAAATTGCTCGCTCCCAACTTTAATGCCAGTAGCTCGCAACATAGAATTTTTGCTCACGAGACTCCACAGCTTAGAGGGAGCATTGGTTACCAGGGTTCTGTGGTAATCTGGTCAACGAGGCATACGCAGAGGAAAGCATAAGTGGCTGGAGGTGGGGCGTGGGTGGGTCTTGGCCAAATTCTTTTTTTTCCTTTCAAAAATGTAATATTAAACTTAATCCACCCAACGCAAAGGATTGCCCTGTGGTGTGCTGATAAAGTCGCTATTGGTGGGGAGAACCATCTTCGTGATGCCTTCTCATCATTCAGTTCTGACACACAAGGCCGGTTCTTACAGCAAGTCAGTCATGTGTCTCTTGGCAAAGTGGCTCACATCGGGCACCTTGTTGTCTAGATGCTGTGGCAGTTTCTGCCCCACTAATCCAGACAGAGGGTTGGCTGACCCCTGAGCTTCATGTCTTATTTTCCTGCACTCTGTTTCAGAGCCTGACACCGTGTTCTTCTGCTTGAAGGACAGTCATCGAAGGGCGTTTTGTGTAATCTGCCCTGAGCCCTAATGAGAAAGGTGGGCTATAAATAACACAAATAAATATATTAAAATAGGGGGGAGGACCCCGCTCTGATCCTTTGCATGATGAGTGCTGTGCAAAAGCATGTCTTTCAAATGAAGAAGCTAGCAGACATTTTTTAATGATCCACTGTTGCTGTTGCTCCCTAAGTAATTCTGGTACAGGCTGGGACTGACCGGCATCCTTCCTGGTTCTGCCTTCTGCAGATTTATGTGTATGAGAACGAGAAACAGCCAATACTGCCACTGACCCGCTTCAGCGGGAGGCTGATGTGGAACGGGAGCAAAGACATGCAGGATGTGTCCATCTCCGTGCACAACATCTCCCTGAACGATTCCGGGGTCTACACCTGCAAGGTCAACAGGACGTTTGACTTCGACATCCATCACCACACTGTCACCACCTCCACACTGATCCACCTCACAGTCGTGAAGGAGGGTATGGAGGAACTGACTTGTACAGTTAGCTCTGAATTGACTTGTAGAGTTAGCTCAAAATGGACTTGTAGAGTTCACTCTGAATTGACTTGTACAGTTAGCTCTGAATTGACTTGTAGAGTTAGCTTAAAATGGACTTGTAGAGTTCGCTCTGAATTGACTTATACAGTTAGCTCTGAATTGACTTGTAGAGTTAGCTCTGATGTCTCCTGTGAATGGCCAAGCCATTCGCAAAGAAACAAGGCAGTAAATACCTTCCTGTAGTAAATGTTTGAGTGTTTTTTGTGCAAGGAAGTTAGATTTGAGTCCAGTAGCATTTTAGAAGCCTATAAGAGTTTCAGGGTAGAAGCTTTGAGAATCAGAGCTCCCTTTGTCAGATATGAGTAGGAATGGAGAACTCTGGGTCTTTGTATCCCAGTTAGAAGGTGGTAGGGGTGTTGTGAAGAATGCTTGCAAAGGATGCAAGGGTACCATGCATGTTGTAATCAACTAGAGCAGAGGGGAAATGCTTGGGGGCAGAAAATGAACATCTGTAGTGAGTTAAGAACCCTATGTCCCTATTCAGCCCTGGGGGGTCCATTGTTCTGTGTGTAAGGAAGGGTTGCAGCTGTTTCTCATGCATCTTGTGCTTCTGAGCAAAGCGAAACAGAAGATGTGGTGATAAACATCAAATTAAGGGTGACTTTACAGGCCGCCGAAGACGGTTGCTATGTAGACCATTGATTTTGTTTGACGCTCTCTAGCCTCGATATCATGAAACCTTTGCATCACTATGAATGCTATTTCTCTGGGGGACGTGAATGCCTCATGTGATCCTGCAGTGTGGCACATCACTCAAATCTCCAAAGGCCAGGTTTGGGTGGGTTGGTTTATTTAAACTTTCTTTTAAAAGGTGTCAGTTTTAGAAGAGCAAGGTGATCCCTTTAGGCTGGAAAATTAGCTATGGAGACTTAAAGTAATTCAAAAAGTTACTCGTCAATTATTGGGATATTTGGCTAAGATAGCAGAGTTTTGCCTAGTCATAGAAGCGTGATACTGAGTGCAGTAAATAAATCTCCCAGAAAGTATGTTGCAAAAAAGGGTAAAATTTACATTTATTCAAGTAGATCCAGTTCACATTCAGGTTGCAGTCAAAAGAAGAGACAGAAGCTGAATCTAAAGAATATGTTCCCTATCACAGATGAAAGATTGAAGGTCAAAGAAGAAGGGGGCGGCAAAGGATGAGATGGTTATACAGTGTCATAGATGCAACGAACATGAAGTTGAGCAAACCTCAGAGGACGGCGGAAGACCGGAAGGCCTGGCGTGATCTGGTCCATGGGGTCACGAAGAGTCGGACTCGACTGTGCAACTGAACAACAACAATCACGGATGGCCAGCTTGTCTGGCATCATGTGCATAGGAGTATGAGGGCACTGTCTCTACAGGAGAGCCTTGCAGAAACATGTGCCTCCATGGAAGGCCATGTAAAGAGAGGGAGAGGAGAAAGGGAGAGAGGAAGGGTCAGAGGGCAGCTCCCAGGTTAACACAAAGAGAGACATCCCATTCAAGGAGATAACACCTATACACACTTGGAGTGATGTAGCGCCCCCCAGTGTCCAGGCATGCTGACTAACTCACTCCAGCACCGATAACATAACATAAGAATATAACATAAGAAGAGCCCTGCTGGATCAGACCAATGGTCCATCTAGTCCAGCATCCTGTCTCACACAGTGGCCAACCAATTCCTCTGGAGAGCCAGCAACAGGCCATAGAAGCTGAGACCTTCCCCTGATGTTGCTTCTTGGCTCTAATCCCCCTTTAAAGCTATTCATTCCTGTGGCCATCACTACATCCTCTGGCAGCAAATTCCACATTTTATTCACTCCTTTGGTCCGTCCTGAACCTGCTGCCCATCAGCTTCATTGGATACCTTCGAATTCTAGTATTTGGGGAGAGGAAGAAAAATCTATCTTTGTCAGCTCTCTCCACCCCATGCATAATTTTATAAACCTCTATCATGTTCCCCCTTCGTCATCTCTTTTCTAAACTGAAAAGTCCCGGGCTCTTCAGTCTTTCCTCATAGGGAAGGGGCTGATGAGTGAGCTGCACAGTTTCTAGCAGCCCGTGCCTAAGAGGCAAAGGATGCCAGACTGATTCTGCACAGGATGTTCTATGTAGCAACTGGAAGAGGTCATTTCCTGCAGGAGCGCACAGGAGCGGAGCTCCGGCAATAAAGAGCCTAGGGGGCGGGCACATGCGACAAGCCCCACCCCCTGCTCCCAGCAGCCCTCAGTCAGAGCAAGAAGCAGCCAGGTAGGTTGCAGAGCAGCCATAGTTCTCTCAGAGCTGTCCTTGAAAGGGTCGTTTCTGCCAGAGCTCTCTCAGCCCCACCTACCTCACGGGGTGTCCGTTGTGGGGAGGGGAAGGGAACGGAGTTTGTAAACTGCTCTGAGACTCCGAGTGAAGGGCGGGGTATAAATCCAGGGCTGGCTCACTCACTAGGTGAACTAGGCAATCGCCTAGAGCGGGCTGGCCCTTAGGGGCGACAAACTGCACCCGACCCCGTACTCTGGGAGTTTCTTGTTTTTCATTCTTCCTAAAATGCATTTCTTTTTGAAAATTGGTGGGCGCATGGGGAGGGGGGTGCCAAAAGGGATTCCCACCTAGGGTGCAAAAAAAGCTGGGGCCAGCCCTGTATAAATCCAATCTCTTCTCTTCTTCTCTGCTCTCTCTCTCTTGCCTCCCTCCAACCACTCCAGAGTTGCTCTTAGCTGGGCACTGTGTTTATCGCAAGGTGTCAACAGGCCCAGGATCACCTGGGGATGAGATCAGCAACACGCTATTCTCTGACGGCCTGCCGGGAGCTGCAGAAGTTCCCCAGAGAGAAGGGCAGAGTGGCGTGATCCGCTGAGCCAAAGGTGGCTCTCTCCTGTTCAGATCTTCTCCTATGTGCTGTATCTTTATTATTCTCCCCCTCTCTCCCCCCCCCCAACTGCATCCCTTCTGTCCTGTTCTTTATTATTCTCCCTCTCTCTCCCCCAACTGCATCCCTTCGGTCCTGTATTCATCCCTTGCCGAGGAGCCCTCCCTCAATGGTCTCCATTTCACGGCAGTGCTCTTTGTTTCCTTGGCTTCAGCACATTATAGAACATCTGCAGATGGGAGATAATTAGGAAACAAAAGGGAGGTCTAGCATGTTCCAAGATTGGGGATAAACACAAGTTTTTTAAATCTCAGCAGTAGGTAATCTGAGAAATGCTGCCTGTCTAAGCACGCACTTGGGACGGGATAGCCAGTGCGGTGTAGTGCTCAGTGTGACACGCTAGGATCTGGGAGACCCAGGTTCGAATCCCCACTCTGCCATGGACTCTTGCTGAGTGACCTCGGGCCAGTCACACTCTCTCAGCCTCGCCTACCTTACAGGGCTGCTGTGAGGATAGAGAAGAGATTGGATTTATACCCCACCCTTCACTCGGAGTCTCAGAGCAGCTTACAAACTCCTTTCCCTTCCTCTCTTCATGCAACAGACACCCTGTGATGCAGGTGGGGCCGAGAGAGCTCTCTCGAGAACTGCCCTGGAGAGAACAGCTCTGAGAGAACTTGTGACTGACCCAAGGCCACACCAGCAGTTGCATGTGAAGGAGCGGGGAGTCAAACATGATTCTCCCAGATTAGAGTCCGCGCACTTAACCACTACACCAAACTGGCTCTCCAGTTTGAATGATGTGAGGCTACTTCGGGGTCCCCATTGGAGAGGAAGGTGGGGTGCAAATGTAATAAATAAATGGGGGGGATTGCAAGGAGCTTTAAGGGATGACAGAGCCCCAGTTCTTTCATCTAGGGCTTGCAGTTCCCTGAAACCGCCCTCTTCCCCTCAGGTTGCCTCGCAGCATCGCTGTTCCAGAGCTCTGATTATCCAAACACTACGGAGCAGCGACTGATTGCAAAGGGCACTCCATCACCGTCTGTCTGATTCTTTCATTGCAATTGGGAGGCCGAAGCCCTGAGGCTTCACTGCTCTCCACGCACCATTCCCAGCAGCTGACCAAGAGCATCAGGGCGGGACGCGTTTTGATTCTAGAATGCAAGACGCCTGCCCTTTGCCGCCGGCACACTTTGTTCCACGAGAATCGATCGGCATACAAATGTCTCCTGATCTGACTTAGGGCATGAAATCCGGGCCCCGAAGCTCAGCCACCCAGTTTCTGCATGACAGTAATTCAATGGTGGAAAATATAGAAAGCCACACGTGCTGTTGGGGGGGGGGGCAGGGAATCACAGAGCTGCCAAAAAAGTAGGTCACCATGGCCTAGATCCCAGGTTTTGCTAATATGGCTGTTGGAAGGCCTCAAGGATCCCTTCGTTCTAGAACGCAAGATGCCTGCCCTTTGCCGCCGGCACACTTTGTTCCACGAGGATCGATCGGCATAGAAATGTCTCCTGAACTTAGGACATAAACTCCGGGCCCCGAAGCTCAGCCACCCAGTTTCTGCATGACAGTAATTCAATGGTGGAAAATATAGGAAAGCCACACGTGCTGTTGGGGGGGGGGGGGAAAATATAGAAAGCCACATGTGCTGTTGCAGGGGGGGGGCAGGGAATCACAGAGCTGCCAAAAAAGTAGGTCACCATGGCCTAGATCCCAGGTTTTGCTAATATGGCTGTTGGAAGGCCTCAAGGATCCCTTTCGTTCTTTGTCCCCTTCGCAGCTGGCGAAGACTTCACCTCAGTCATCTCGGAAATAATGATGTATATTCTCTTGGTCTTCCTCACCTTGTGGCTTCTGATCGAAATGGTCTACTGCTACAGGAAGGTCTCCAAAGCGGAGGAGGCGGCCCAGGAAAACGCGTAAGTGAAACATCCGCGGCAGCTCCAGAAAGGGTGTCATAGAAGCGGGCCCATCAGAAATGGATGACGTTATCAGTAGAATATGAGGGGGGGGTGCTCCGTAGCTGCGGAGGCTCTGCAGCACGTCTGGAGCTCCCTGCGTGTGTGAAGCTCCATTGAAATGACGGAAGAATACCATATTCGAGAGCTCCATCAGAGTGTTCCCAAAGAGGCTGTTTGGGGGCCGTGGACAGATGCAGCTGGCTTTTATAGCCGTGTCCCAAAAACCTGCCACCCTCCCCGAGCTCCTTTAAAAGAGAATGCCTGCTATTGAATCAGGGTTCCTCTGCATGTTAAGCGGGCCCGTAGCCAGGATTTTTTCCAGTCGCGGGGAGGCATTTACATTTCTTAGGGGGCACTGGCTGATCAAATTACAGGAATACCCATATCCTCCTCTGCACCTGCCACCGCTCGGGGGCCCTGGGCTGGATGGGACGTTGTGGGGCCCTGCCGGTAAGCCGGTGGGCCTAGCCCCGAGATGCCCCACTTGTAGCTATGGGCCTGATGTTAAGTATGTTACTGAACTATAGCCCTTCCCTAAACAGAGGTATATCTTCTCTTTCCCCCCCCCCTTTTTAAAAAGAGGGCATAGATTGGTGCGTTTCTTCTTGTGCTAACCTCTTCATGTTGACTGACAGGACTGACTACCTTGCCATCCCGTCAGAGAACAAGGAGAACTGCGCTGTACCTGTGGAGGAGTAGCAGGTAGAAACCCCCCCAGGGTATGGTCTGCTACCAAAGGTAAGAGCTGTGTTGAAATCTGTGTGCAGAACGTGCGTGCTAATAGGAAGCTAGAATGCAGCATAAGAAATGCTGGGACGGCTGTAGGTAGGACAAAGACGTCCACGGAATTCAGCGTGGCATTTCTAGGTGACCCCAGGAGCAGCTAGTCCTGTAGAGATGCCCCCCCCCAGGTTTTATTTCGTTTTAATTAAAAAAATTATTTAAAAGAAATTACCCTGTCCATACAGAGAGGTCGGATGTCAAACAATAGAAAACATACATCCAAAGCTAGCTACCGAATAAGACCGAGAGCACGAGATCCCGCTTCTTCAAACCTTAACCAGCTAAATCGTTGATCGTCTATGGGAAGGACTCCTTTATTGGAAAGGCGAGTCAAAACTGGTGACCCTCACTCCCAAATGATCTACCTGACTCATGATACCAGGAACTCTACAAAAGAATGGATTGTCCATTATCCTACTCAGGGGTCATTTCGTAGAAAAAGAGGTGCAGGAGCTCATTAGCATAGCTCATTAGCATAACTTCTTTGCATATGCCACACACCCCTGACATCACCGGAAGTGTGTCCCAAGGCAACACCCACCGCTCAGGCTCCACTGGACTGTTTTGGATTGCTAGCTATGGGGAGGGGGGACGCGCAGATCTGCTCTGACAGAGGAGGGAGAGCCGGGGGGGGGGGGCTCTGCAACTTACCTGGCTGCTTCTTGCTCCTCGTGGCCTGACTGAGGGCTGCTGAGAGCAGGGGGCTGGGCTTGTTGCATGTGCCCACCCCCTGGGTTCCTTACTGCTGGAACTCCGCTCCTGTGCGCTCCTGCAGGAAATGACCCCTGATCCCACTCATTAATTTTCCTGTAGAGATTATGGGATGGAGATGAATTATTGAGGAAGAGCTATACTGTGAGTTTCCACATGCTGGGCATCAGAATCCAGTTTAATTGGAGTTGCCTGAATACAATGTGTGTGTGTGTGTGTTTTGGGGGGGGGGGAGAATTGTGCTTTTTTCTCTCTTTAGGGCTTCAGCCTATTTAACCCCTTAGCATTTAATCAGACTTGGAGGATTCTTCAATAAATGTGTGCTTGACCTGCACCTGGATCCTGATCCCCTTCTACTAAGGAGCCTAGCTCTGGTGGAGGAAGGCTTGCTCCTTGAGTAAGACTCCTCAGTAGAAGAAACAGACTCCGCTGCTGGGGGACTGCAGAGAGCTTGGGCACAAAGTGCATTCTCCAAGTATCAGCCACATGTAGGCCCATGTATTGCACTTGCAATCCTTTTGCAACAATGGAGCGAGCGGTCAGCCAACCGTCTCTTTTGTTTCCCGCCACGGACACACAATCTAGGGCTGAAGCTTTATTCCATCCTTTCCCTTTTTTTCCACGGGAAAAGGTCTGTAGGGGTGATTATTTTTGGCACAAAAGCTTTGGCAATCCCCATCGCTGGTGGTAAATCTGGCCAGTGTCAAGAAGTATTGCAGTGGGGGATAGAAGGACAGTCAAGAAGCTGATGTAATTGTCGATTTGAAAAATGCAAACGTCACGGATGTAAAGACACATCACTCATGGCCAATCATTGTTCTCAGGCCTGGCAGAGCATTGGGAAAATGGTTATCTTGAGGGAAAGGCCATGCAATGAACTCTGTGGCCAGCAGAATTAGGGCTTGCTGCCAGTGTTCCCTCTAAGCTGAGTCAGGGTGAGCTGGCTCACAGTTGCACCTCCGGAGGCAAACTAATTGATGCAGTAGTCCAATGGCTCGCTCACAACTTTAATGCCAGCAGCTCACAAAGTAGGGTTTTTGCTCACAAGACTGCACAGCTTGGAGGGAGCATTGCCGCAGACTGATCCTTGCTCAAGTTCTATACATATGAACACCTGAACCTGCCTTATACTAAATTGGACTCTTGGGCCATCAAGGCCAGTATTGTCTACTCAGCCTGGCAGCAGCGCTCCAGGTTGCGAGGTGGAGGTCCTTCGCATCACCTACTACCCGATCCTCTCAACCAGAGATGCCAGGGGTTAGAGCCTGGGGCCTTCCGCGTGCAAAGCAGGCGCTCTACCACTGAGCCACAGCCAGTGTTCCCTCTAAGCTGAGTTAGGGTGAGCCAGCTCACAGTTTTTTAGCCTCCGGCCCACAGATTTTCGCCTTCGCTCAGGAAAGGATGGCTCCAGAGCAAACTAATTGACACAGTAGCCAAATTGCTTGCTCACAACTTTACTGCTGGTAGCTCACGGAGCAGAATTTTTGCTCACAAGACTCCACAGCTTAGAGGGAACATTGGCCATGGCCCCTCCCAATGATGGATTGGCTATCCAGGAAATGTTTGAGGGTGAAAAAGACACGAGTGTGGTCACTCTTGAAAGAGAACAGCTGGCTTTTAGTCCAGTAGCGCCTTAGGACCAACGAGATTTTGGAAGTATGAGCTTGAGAGCCAGTTTGGTGTAGTGGTTAGGAGCGCAGGCTCTAATCTGGGAGAACCGGGTTTGATTCCCCCATTCCTCCACATCCAGCTGCTGGTGTGACCTTGGGTCAGTCACAAGTTCTCACAGAGCTGATCTCTCGGGGGAAGTTCTAAAGAGAGCTCTCTCAGCCCCACCTGCCTCACAGGTTGTCTGTTGTGGGGAGGGGAAGAAGAAGAAGAGAAGAAGAGATTGGATTTATACCCCGCCCTTCACTTGGAGTCTCAGAGCGGCTTACAAACTCCTTTCCCTTCCCCTCCCCACAACAGACACCCTGTGAGGTGGGTGGGGCT